TCAGACCCCGCTTCCAGGCTTTGCCTTTGCCCAGGAGTCGCCAAGGATCTGGCACCGAGCTGGGTCCTGCTGGGCTGCCCCAGGGAGAATCACTTATTCATTCAACCATCATTTCCCGACTGCCTGCTGTGTGCCATGCCTTGAGCCAGAAGTCAAGGATACACAGACGGGCAGGGCAGTCCCGGCCTGGGGGCTTCACGGAGACACTCAGTATGCCAAAACACAGCAGCAAAGAGCAAAGTACTATGTGTACATAAGCACACAGGAAGAGGGTTGGGGAAAGTCTGCCACTGACGTTCAGACCTACTTCCCCTCAGGAAGCATAGAGTCATGTTGGGGAGTCCCAGACACCACCAGGAAGAGCCGGGCAGCACCACTCAGCTGGATACGACACATGTTGGGGAGCACAGAGGGCCCGTGCCATGGGTAGGTGTTCCAGGCAATAATCCTGGAGACCCCAGAAGCAGGCTGGTCCAAGCTTTGAAAGATGGGCCGGGGGCAGAAAAGAAGAACAGCTCTCCTTGATGGAGTTCTCACTGTGTGCTAGGTATAAAACTGCTAAGCTTCATGAACGTGTTTTTTCTCACGTTCCCCTGTGAGGTAGTTACCATTATTATCCCCAATTCTCAGATTCAGAAACTGAGGCTCAGAAAGAGTCACATAGTGAGGAACGAGCAGGGTCAAGATTGTGGCTCCAAGTCCAACTCTTCACCACCATGCTACCCCATGGACCTAAGCGGCAGACAGGCGGGAGGTAGGTGAGGGTGCTTCCAGTGGAGGAATAAGCAAGGGTGAGGAAGGGGGGACTGGTTATTGTATGTTTGAAAGGAGCCTTCCACTTCCACTCTGCATGGAGAGCCTGTGTTGTGTACGTGTGTGTCTGCGCAGGCACACATACATGCGCATGCGTGTGTGCACATGTACCCTACTTTACACGGGACAGATCCTGGCTTTAGAACCCTCTGAGAGCCAAGTAGAGTATAGGCCATTAGCAGAGCAGTGAAGGGAAGCCCGGAGAGGAGAAGGCACTTATGGGAGGTCACACTGCCTGTAAACTGAGGACTTGGAACAGTGGTTCTCAACCTTCTGGCCCTTTAAATACAGCTCCTCATGTTGTGACCCAACCATAAAATTATTTTCGTTGCTACTTCATAACTGTAATGTTGCTACTGTTATGAATCGTCATGTAAATATCTGATATGCAGGATGGTCTTAGGCGACCCCATGTGAAAGGGTCATTCGACCGCCAAAGGGGTCGCGACCCACAGGTTGAGAACCACTGACTTGGAATGAACCTCATGAACCAGACTACAGGCCTCTTCCCTCCCCTCAGCTGCTTCTGTGTGTCAGAACAGAGTGAATCAGCTGCAGACAGGAAAACCATGGTGTAGGCAGGGGGAACCCCAGGGGTGAGGCAGGAACCAGCCAGAAACCCAGACACCAACTGGGTCTGCTCACAGGCAGCATCAGGGCGCAGGGAAGAGGGAAGCGACATGTCCCATACACTTATGTTTACCTCTGGACTTCCCTCCTGGCTCCTTGGATTGGGGCTTGGAGGAGGGGAAGTGGTGGGCAGGGCAGTTCCTTCAGAGATTAAACCAGCTCTTCACCTCTGGCCCCCGCCTTGTCCCAAGAAGGGGCCCAGACTCTTCCCTCCCTCCTGCCTCCCCCAGAGTCAACTCCTGAGGGTTTGACGCACTTGATTACAGCATAACCGCCCCCTCTGATCTTCCCGGGGGTGGAGGAAGTGGGTATAACAGTTTGGAGCAAGGGGTCAAAGCCAAGCCAAAACCAGGGGGTGCCAGCTGACCCCAGAAGCTCCAAATCCAAAGGAGAGCTCAAGGCTTGGGTCTGCTGGGCCCTGGGACAGGATGGCCTTCTGGACCTCAGGGAAAACGGGTTGGGCCCAGGGGTGGGGGTGGAGGGTAAATGGGGAGGAGAAGCTTCCGTTCTGTGGCTTAAGAGTCTGAGGCCTCAAGAGAGAGGGGACTGCCCCACATGGCAGAAACTTCAGAGGAGCCTGGAGGAACCAAAATCCACCCCCACACATAGGAAATTTGTGCCCCCACTGGCTGACCTCTGACCCGGGCCCTCCCCGGGCTCGGGCTATGAGGGGGAGAGCCACAGGCATTTCTCCCCATCTTCCCTGCTCCGGAGCCCACTGCTGACTGGCTAAAGCTCTGCCACTTGGCCCAGGAGCCTCCCATCATGGCAAACACGGGGCCTCCTTGGGTGGCTCCTCTCTATCACTCTGTAGCACTCATCACCCTCCCCAGCACCTCCCCTGTTCGACCCGCCCAGCACCTTCTGAGCCCCTGCTATGCACCAGGACCTCGCCTGGGTGGAGACAGAAAGAAACACAGGGACACTCACATTTCCCATGTCACCTGGGTCCCTCTCACTCCTGTGATGGTGCCTTTTCTATCCCCCAGCCGCAGATATCCCCAAACCTCCCCGGGCCCCTCCTTCCCTGTCACCACAGCCATCAGTTCATTATCCCTTGACCGCTGGGCCGCCCCCTCCAGCATATCTGGCAGACTGCCTTTCCTCGAGTGCCACTCTGACTGTCCCTCCCGTGCTCAGAAACCTCCAGTGGCTCTCACTTTCTACACATCAAATCCAAATACCTCACCTTGGCATTCAAGGCCCTCCACCAGTTGACCCAACCTTCCATTCCCCCTTCATATCCCTGCACAGTCCCAACTCTTCAGCCGGACTGATCAGCCCAGAAGTTTCTGTAAATCTCCCTGAACACTCTGACCTCCTTGCCTCTGACTAGACATTTTCCGCTGCCCAAACACTGTCTTCCTTGCGACTGCGGAGACCCTCCCAATCCGCCAGGCCCACCCGAACTCCACCTCTTCCATGAAGCTTTCCTAACGATCCCTCTAGTCCTTTTTTCATTTATCTCCTTGTCTAACTTCCTCCCCAGACTGTAAGCAACTAAGGATGGGATCAGTGTGTCATGGTTGGTCATTCATCATGTGGGGAAGAGAGTGGTGCATACGACTTTCCAGTCAATGTTTACTAAGCATGTCCCCCAACAAGCACCACTTACTGACCGCCCCCCCCCCCAGACCAAACTCCAACTGCTGATGTCACCCAGCTGCTCAGAGAAGGGGAGTCTGTAGCCCCAAGTTGATTCAAGCAGAATCTGGACTTGGGAGCCCAGGTAGAAAGTCCTGCTCAAGTCTCACCAACTCTAAGAAGTGCCCTCATTTCCTGCCCTGCTTTCTCCAGTGTCTCACCGCTAAGTACCACATCCACCCCATACTTTCTCTCTCTCTCTCTCTCTCTCTCTCTCTCTCTCTCGCTCTCGCTCTCGCTCTCACTCTCCTCATTTAGTGCAGCCTTCAATCAGACTTTGCCCCATTGTATTTCCCAGCTGGTTCTAAAGTGTAGGGCTCATCTCCCCAAGAGATGCTGGGAGCCGGCATACAGCATTCCCAGTCTCCTCCGGTGCCCATCTCTGATCAAACAGATAACAGGTGTCCACACTGCCCATACCTCCACCCAAGCCCACCGTGCAGTAGAAGAGCTGGATTCCAGTCACCAGAGCAGTACAGACCCGTGAAATCTCATCTGGCCTGGAGCCCTGGGTCTGAGTTACCCTCTCCCCAAGGACCATGGTGGGGTTGGGGAGTCCTCACTGTCAGCAGCTCAAAGTGAGGGCAGAGACCAGGTCTGGTTAGGTCACCTCTGAAACAACACCTCATATATAGTAGGTGCTCAGAACACATTTTTGTGTTTATTTAACTGGACACCCACCAACCTCAAGCAATATTACAGAAAACTCAGCCACTCCATCCTGAAATGAACAAAGTGATGCTGGTGGCAGGTGGCAATTTCTGGCTCACACAGGGTCAGAAGGGGATGCAGCCAATCTCTGACCCTCCAAAACTTAGCTCATTCCCAGGCAGGAAGCCAGTCCACCACCTGCCCATCCACATCAGAGCAGTTGGCATGTAGTGAGGCCTCACTGAGCGCCTGGCGCCTTGCTGAGCACTGTATTCACACGATTCCATTAAGTCCTCACTACTACCATTGGGTGCTGTCATTACCCCCATTTTACAGATGAGAAACCTGAAGCTCACAGGGGAGTGGAATCCAAGTCAGTTTGGTCCCAAAGCCCAAGCCCCTGACCACTGATTTAGGCTGCCCAACTACCACGGCCCTGGCACAAGCACCAAGGACAGAAACCTCCAGAACCAGGAACTAACCTAATCCCGGGGCATGCAGCCAGAACCCCAGGCCCTGGGCTTGACCTGGGTCCAAAGTTTGGCCGGGTTTCCCCTTGTCTTTCCCATTCACCAGATGAGAACTTGTCCCCTGCTTTTTGCCCTGGGCCCCCCCAGGCCAACTCACTTGGAAAAAAGCCCTAGGAGGTGGACAAAAGCCCCCTTGAGTTTCTGGCCCAAAGTCATACTGGGCACTCCGAGTTGCGGAGGTGGGGAGGGGAGACTGAAAGTTCTCTGACTTGGGCTCTGCTCCCTCTGGGCTTGTGGGTTCAAACCCCATCTGAGTAATTAGTGTGGCCTTTGAAGCAATTCGCTTCACGCTCCCGGAGAGGTTGCTTTGCTCTGTGCCACTCGGCAGGCAGAGAACTGCGTCTGAGCCACGCGATTTGAATGTCTGTTGCTGAACTGCACTTGGCTCTCACCTGCCAGCCCTCACCTTCCGGGGTTGTAGTGAGAAAGGGCAACGGGACCATGAAGTTCAGCTGGTTCAACCTCCTTTTTACTGGAACCCGAGAGGTCTAGAGCCCAGGGGAGGGATGTGCTGAAGACACACAGCTGGTGCATGGCGGAGCTGGAGAACTGGGGTTCAGGATTCCGGAACTTAAGCTCCTTCTCACCCACCAGCTGCCTTCGTGGCCGGACCTGTCACTTGTTCCGAGAAAGCTGCCCAAGCGCGCTCTGGAAGTGGTGGCGAAAACTAACTTTGCTACCGGCCAGCACCCTCCGGCCCCCCTGCCCCCCTGTCCCCCTGCCCCTTCTTACCTGCTTTTTGTTCGGCGCAGCAAGCCTGGGGTCGCGCGATCGCAACCCTGTCAGCGTCCGACTGTGGAGAGCAGGACTCACCCACTCCCCGCGGAGAAAGCAGAAGCCTCGGCCAAGCCCCGCCCCCGCCTAGGACACGCCCCGGACACGCCCCCTGCTTTCCCGGACGCCAGTTCGCCGGCCCCGCCCCCGGGCGCTGCTGGATAGTAGCCCGGCGGCAAGCCAGATCAGGCTCCGCCCACACGGCCTCCCGGACTCCGAACTGGCCAGCCCCGCCCTGGGCCCGGCTGGGGGTGGGGCCCAGCCCTTTTCCCCGCCCCTTTCCCCCGACTCGCTGCGGCCGCCCAATCGACACCGCTAGCCCCGCCCCCAGACACAGAGGCTGAGGCCCGCCCCCGGGCCCGCCCCCGCAGCTCGGTCCTCTGTGCCCCTCCAGCTTCCAGGCCCGGGATGCAGCCTGACTCCCCTCCTGGCGGGGCTCCGCGCTCGAGCCCTGCAGGGAGGGAAGCCCCACTCACAGAGCTACCTAACGGCCTGTCGCTCCTCGCCTTTCTGGTCCTACCCTGGCGCCCGCCCCGCTAGGATGAGGCCACACCCCAGGCACGCCCCCCCTTCTTCCGCGCGCCTACCTAATTCTGTCCGGCCCTGCCAACCCAAACCCCGGCGGGCGGGCGAGCCTCCGGCCCCCACCCCGGCATCCCAGGGCGGGTGTATCCGGGTGCGACCGGTGAACCGCGTGGGAGCGGTTTGCGTTCCAAGCCCGAACCTCTATCAGGAGGCGGCTTGGGCCCAAGCACTGTTTGAAAATACTAACAGCTACCACTGATTGAACTCTCGCCAGGGGCCGGGCTCTATGCCAAGCGCTGTAAAAACGACTGGCTCTTGAATTTGCACAACTCTATATAGATACTGCGCCCATTTTACCCAAGAGCAGCCTGAAGCCGAGGGAAGGGAAGTCGTGGAGGTGTGAGAGGGATCCAGCCCCAAGCCCTGAATCACAGGCTGATGCTGCCCCAGCTTGCCTGGACCGGCTGGCCCCTGGGGTAGTGGCCTGGCCCAGCCAGATGTTGGGGCAATGCCCAACAGGCTGACTGAGGTGAGGGAGGAGGCGTGGGTTGATTGGGGGGGTGGGGGGGGTGGTAAGAGGGTTTGTCGCCCAGAGCCCTCAGAAGGTGACTTTCTCCCTAGAGAAGAAATGGCCCAGAATTACGATGGGCTGCCAAAGATCTCCAGGTGGCTGTGGTACCCCCACCTGCATTCCAGCTCTCTGCACTTTCAGACCCCAGGGACCAGCCTCAGGAAGGTTACCCGCAGGTTACTGACTAGGGCCATTTACTTGCGCAGTTGACAAAGCTCTTCCATTCCCATTATCTCATTGGAATCTCCTGAGGACGTCATCTGCATGGGTGGAGTAGGAAACTGGATCTCAGCCAGCATGATCCTTCCCAGAAAAAGGTCCTTGCACCCACCGCAGCAGCACCTGGGAACTTGCTGGGTATGAGTGTTTTGGGGCCCCATGCCAGCCCTACTGAATGAGGAATTCTGGGGGAGGAGCCTCGTAATTTGTTTTAACAAGGTCTTGAGGTGATTTTGAATCCCACTCAGGTTTGAGATGAAGTTAGGGTGGTCGGACAATCATACAGACCAGACAGCCTCCTGGGAACCTTGTGGCCCAGGGCAGGTCCAAACCTGTGGAGAATTTTTCTGAGTTTATATGAGCCAAAACTGACGACAATTTCGGGGAAGCAAGATCTTGAATGCTTCGGAGGACAGTTTAGCAGTTTCCATTATGCACCTGAAATCACCTGGGAAGTAAGAAAGGTTACACGAAGGTGAGATGAGAGCAAGGTGGGGATTGGATTACAGGGTAGTTGACAAGCTTATGTGCCCTCTTGAAGGTGATTGAGTATTTCCAAGATGTGTTCATTTAGATGCACAAGAACAATGGACAGGACTTGCTTCAGGCAAATATAAACCTTTTACTAAAAATGGTATATGCCTGGCGGGTGACTACCCACCATGACCGCCAGTTAGGAACTTATGATCAGATCACCCTACTTTCTATAGAGCCCCTTTTCATCCACAGTACTTCACTTTTCTGTGATAAGCCCTTCAAAGGGTAATAATACAAATGCTGAGAGTGTCCGCTGAGGATCAACTCTGATAGTGTTCATGAAACCTTAGCCCATACTTGGACACTGTACATGCCCAACAAATGTTCTTTTCCCAGTAAAAAGTCTTCTTCCTAGAACCTCCATGCTACATTGTTCTTCCCACGAAGGGACACCATCTACCCTGCAAGAGGCCAAGAGCCTGACGAGTTCCCAGATGACATTGTTGCTGCTGGTTCAGGGACATACTGTGAGAACCACTGTGCTATTCTGTCTTGGGCTGGGTTCCCAGCCAACCCATGCAAAATGGGCATAAAATGCCCGCCTCTTGCCTCTTCTACTGTGCTCCATGTCCCCTCCCCTCAAACTGGGTGTGTTTGTGATGGTGATTGGCCCCTCCCTCCTCCATACAGACATCTGATCACATCAGTCCCATCTGCTACCCATTCCTGCCTCTGTCACTCCAGATTAGAGATGGGAGCAGCTGTGGCAACATGAAGGGCAGTGTACAGGCAGCTTCTGGAATTTCTGCCATACTCCTGCCACCCGCCCCCACTGGGGCACTGGGCCTATTCCCTAACATGAACTACCCTAATGTGTTGATAGTGCAAATTAATGCCCATATACCTTATATATAAACCTTAAACAGACTGGAAAATAAAACATGTTTATTCTCCTGTCTTGAGAAATATTCTTTAGTAGAGGCCTGGTACATGGATTTGTGCACCAGTGGGGTCCCTCTGCCTGGCCTGTGAGGGGGGTCAGGCTGAAACAGGCTCTCCAACATCCCCCCCAGGGACCCCAGATTGTGAGAAGGCGCAGGCCAGGAGGGACCCCAAGGATGCATGATCAGGGCTGGGGAGGAATGGTGGGAGGGCTTCAGGGCATGTCCAGCCCATCTTGCCCAATCCCCATCAGCCAGACCCCAGCAGCAAGCTAACCTACTGGTCAGAGCATTTGCCCCCGGGTGGTCAATGTGCATCATAGCGACTGTTCAAACAAATGGTTGGACACTTAGCATATTAGGCTTTTATTATATAGGACAATGACCAAGAAGGCCATGTTCAAATGTAGAATTCTTGGACTCTTAGAATTCTCTGCAGGAACATGACAGTGTGGGGTGGGTCAGCCTTAACCCCAGCTCTCAGCCCACCCAACTTGATTCTCCTCCTAGCTCCATGTCTGTCCTAGGTTACAAGTGGCCTAGGACCCAGGCATATAAACACCCAGCCCATGTGACCAAACTTTCCACATGTCTTGCCTGTAGTTTCTACTTGGTCAACTTTCTAGGGGTGCACACAGGGCCACACTGTACCCTCAGAAGGGTGGTCCTGGGGAAAGTGCTTGTGTAAGCCCTAAGACTGGTGTTGGGTCCTCTAGGCAGAGATTTCCAGGGTTTTGTATACCTAAAGCGTGATTGAGGAGGAGAGGGGTGGGGTGCAGACTCTGAGTGGACACAGGTCTGTGGGCGGCACTGCCATGTGTCCTTGTCTCCCCAGCGCCTCGCACAATGCTCACACACATTGGAAGCTTAAGGGACAGCCGTTGAGTAGATGTGTGTCTGGGCTCTTTACTGACATCAAATGGGGTTGGTTGTCCCAGCATTTCCTCTTTCCAGCAGGAGTCCTGCTTTGTCACGGCTCACCTGGGCATTTTGCTGGCAGAGAGCAGCGCCCCCTCTCGTGAGAGACTACTTGCACTTCTTGTAAAATTCTCCAGCCCACCCAGAAGTGAAGCTGGGAGTTCTGGGGGGTGGGAAAAGGGGCAAGAAGAATCACTCTAGAAGCCTTGAGAGAAGATATCAAATGGTCAACCTGGAGGCAGGGGAGATGGTAGGATGGCAAGACCTCAGAAGGATATGTCCATGGGGTTCCCAGCTTCTCAGAGAATCCCCCACACCAAGTGTGGCACAGGAGCTGCCGAGCAGGTGACCTGAAGGTTCTTGTGGGCAAGAACATGGATGTCAGGGTCTCCTTGGCGCCTGCAGGGAGGGAGGATGGGAGGCAGGAAGAGCACTGCATCTGTTTCCTATTGCTCGGTAACAAACCACCCAATCATTTAGCCCATAAATCTGCAATTTAGGGTGATTCGGTGGGAAGGGCTTATCTCTGCTCTGTGCAATGTCAGCTGGTTCAGCCGGAGCTTGGGAACCCGTTTCTAAGATGGCTAGCAAGTTGGTGCTGAGCCAGAGTGTGGACCAAGGCCTCAGTTCCTCTCCATGAGGCCTCTCTGCACGAGACGTGAGCTTCCTCATTGCAAGACAGCTGGGTTTCAAGAGCACGCAGAGAACAAGGTAGAAGCGCGTAGCATTTTCTGACCTAGACTTGAATCATGTAGCATTGCTTCTTCCATATTCTATTCGTGGAGGCAGTCACCAAGGCCCACCCAGTTCAAGGGGAGAGGACATACCGTGCTCCCTCTTTTGATGGGGGTGATGTGGCAAAGTTTAAGACGACCTTGCAGGATGGACGCTATTGTTGCACATTTTCTTGCTGGCCGGGGCCTCAGTCAAGAAAATACACCTTCCCCCACGTAGGTTGTTAGAATGACTGGAGTAGAAATTCCTCTGATGGGAACTGAGAGTCTGAAGTAAGCTGATTCCACTTCTGGGGATTTATCTGAAAGAACCCAAAACACCAATTCAAAAGACTGGTATGCACCACTATGTTCATTGCAGCATTATTTACAATGGCCAAGAGGTGGAAGCAGCCCAAGGGTCCATTGATGGATGAGTGGATAGAAAAGGCTGTGGTACATATGAATTAATCTGGTTTAAAGAAGTGAAGTAGACAATATTTCTCACATAACCATTTGTGCATGAATGAATAAGTCCCACAGCGGACAATGAGTCTTCAGTACTTGGGTTATTTAGGATCTTCCTTCTTCAGAGTCCTCAGAGTAGAGTTAGCACCTCCTCCCCCTCAACCTGCACTGTTTCCTTTAAGTTATAAGTTTATTTATTCATTTATTTTAAGTTATCAGTTTA